GATGGGATGCCAGTCCTTCGCAGGGCACAGGGCTGGGGTACACCTTGGACGGGATGCCAGTCCTTCGCAGGGCACAGGGCTGGGGTACACCTTGGACGGGATGCCAGTCCTTCGCAGGGCACAGGGCTGGGGTACACCCTGGACGGGATGCCAGTCCTTCGCAGTGCACAGGGCGAAGGACGAAGGACCAGTCAAAAGTTTGGACACATCCATCCGATGCATTTTAGATATATATTTATATGCAACATATATGGAATTTTGGACTGACTAAAAAAAGGATTAAATTAAAATTGTTTGTTGGGGGGCAGCTCTGGGGTTGGTACTCAGGAGGTTGCCAGTTCAAATCCCTGTATGCAGCTTGGCATGTCCAAACTTTTGACTGGTAGCATACATTGACACACAAACCGTCATACACTACGTGCAATTCCGAGACCCCAGTTGGCCTAACTGCATGTCTTTGGACTGTAGGAGGGAGCCCACGCAACAGACGGAGAACATGCAAACTCCACCCACATCGAGCTGAGCTGAGATTCTAGCCCCCATCTCTGGAGGTGTGAGGCAATGACACTACCCACTGAGCTGAGGCGAATCATTTTTCAATAAAGATAATCAAAAGCCACTTCAGATTCATTATACATATAGTATAACTGGAATTGAAATAATGTGCATTTAGAGGCTAATCAACTGCTGTGGTGGCTATCTGTACCTGTGACCTGGAGGCTTACAGTATGTTACGTCTCTTAATTAAAATCACATTTTGGATAGTTGGTCGCACGCTTCCTGGAAAGTGGCCTAATTATTTGTACATGCAATCTGTGGACTTTTCTTGAGTACAGGGGGGAAATAAAATGCATTTTATTTACCTACACATTTCAATATACCAGTGTTTCCCAATCCAGTTCCCGGGGACTCACGGACAGCCCACATTTTTGCTCCCTCCCAGCTCCCTGCCAGACAGTCATCGTTTTTGCTCCCTGCCAGACAGTCATCATTTTTACTCCCTTCCAGACAGTCATCATTTTTGCTCCCTGCCAGACAGTCGTCATTTTTGCTCCCTGCCAGACAGTCCACATTTTTGCTCCCTACCTGGGCTCTTGGAGGGAGCAAAAATGTGGACTGTCCCTGGGGACCAGAATGGGAAGCACTGCTACAGTATATACACACATTTTCATTTTATGGGATGTGTAGGTGGGGGTGTTGCCTCAGCTTGGCTACACGCATGCCTGCACTGGAAAAGGTGTGAGTTACAGTTCTGCTTTTCATGCTGATTGGACAAAACGACAGGGATGATACCAGGATAAACACTGTAACTCTGACCTTTGGGAAACCTTTGAAGTGCCGCTTATGGCCGTGCAGTGGTGGCAGCTCCCGGCTGGCGACGACTCAGCCTGACGAGCTCTGTTTTATCTGTTTTGGCCCGTTCTCAGGCCCAGTGCTGTTCGGGCTGGGGGGGGGGGGGGAGGCTGGAGTGTCAGCAGATGTGGAGACAGGCCTGAGCGAGTGTAACCGCGGCGACGAATGTGATGACAGCTGTCAGAGGTCGGAGGCTGGCTTGAGGTTGCAAGGAGGGACCATCACTATGAGCGTGTGTGTTTGTGTGTATGTGGGAATCTCATGCTCATGCATGTACTTACACACACTGCTGCAGAGCTGTATGGACAGGCGTACACACACTGCTGCAGAGCTGTATGGACAGGCGTACACACACTGCTGCAGAGCTGTATGGACAGGCGTACACACACTCGGCACATTGCAGAGTCTCCCACAGCCTTCCTGGTAGACAGCCAAGAAAGGGCGTCAGGATCAGAGCTCTGCAGTGCCTGATGAAAGGCAGTAACTTACTGTGTACTTACTGACGCTCGCATTAATATTTTTTTAGGAGTATATAAGCATATTGTAGCCCTGGTGGGAAAGTGACAGTCACTCATTATGCAAACAGGAACATCCCACACGCACAGCGGAACATCATGGGGTCTTTGGAATTCCACCCACAAATGTCACCAACGCAGATGTACCTGGAGAGCCGAAATAACAACATTATTCTGCGCACTCACACAGGTGTGTGTGTGTGTGTGTGTGTGTGTGTGTGTGTGTGTGTGTGTATGTGTGTGCGTGTGCGTACGTGTGCATACCCTTTTTTAGTGGAGGCTAATATCTCTACAGTTGCTGCTCTCTGCATAGTTCCGTGTTAATGTCCCCTGTCCCTGTGGCTGTCGACCCTAATGTACAATATCTGTCCTCATGCTCACATGCTCCTCGTTCCAAAGGGAGACAAACCCAAGTGCTATCGTTCGGAAAAGCAGTTGAAAACTTGTGTCAGATCGATTAAGCATGTGCCACGTGATGTAATGGTTGTCATAGCTTGGAGCACATTAAAAAAAAGACTTATTCTTCCTACAGCCCGCTGTAAACCAGCAGGATCATTTTTTCGGGGCTTATCGCATAAAAGCCGTTCATCTGTGAGCTGTTAAGACACAGAGAGGCCACTGAAATCTAATGGCATGGCCACCCACAGCCACCCAGGCAGCGGGCAGGTCTTTGCTGGTAGAGGAAGTGGGTGCAATGAAAGAACCCTGAACGGCATCCCCACTGGGGTTAATTCCCTTGTCGAACAACGTGGGTGTAAGTCCTTTTTCAAAGTGTTCACAGAGAGAGGTGACGTTAGCATGCTCTTGTCTCTCCCAAGTAGCTAAATTGGTCTGTTCAGTTTGGGCCAGATCCAGGCCAGCTTGGTGTAAAAGAGCTCCCCCATTCTCTCTCTCTCCTCCTCCCTCTCTCCTCTCTCTCTCTCTCACTACTTCTCTCTCTCTATTTCTCTCCTTCCCTCTCTCTCTCATTCTATCTCTCTCCTTTTTTTCTCCCTCTTTCATCCTTCCCCTCTCTCTCTTTCTTTATCTCACGCCCCCTCCCACTGTTTCTATCTCTCTCCCCCTCTCATTTTCTCTCTCCTTCTCCCCTTCCCTCTCTCTTCTTCTCTCTCCCTACCTCTCTCTTGTCTTTCCCCCTTCCCCTCTCTCTCCTTCACTATCTCTCGCTCTCTCTCACTCTCTTCTTCTCTCTCACTACCTCTCTCACATGCCCGTCCCTGTGGCATCTGGGGTGGCCTTGGTACATCACAGATGGCCAGATAAAGAGGAGGAGGAGGCAAAACAGGAACTGTGTGCTGCTCCACGTCCAGTACAGAGATGTGAGGATGTGTACCCAGTACAGAGATGTGAGGATGTGTACCCAGCAAAGAGATGTGAGGATGTGTGTCCGGCAAAGAGATGTGAGGATGTGTGTCCGGCAAAGAGATGTGAGGATGTGTGTCCGGCAAAGAGATGTGAGGATGTGTCCAGAAGTGCTAAAGATGGAATCCCTATTCAGACACATTTAATTAATTAGTGAAGAGCCGTATTTGGACTGGAGCTCCAATTATCAAGTACATCTCCTGCCCCAAATTCCCGTTGGCTGTAAATTTAATGACGCTTTTCTCCCTGCAGTTACTGCAACATCAGAAAATAGTAATTACCGCTAGAGTCAGAATCGACAAGCACTTTTACATACTAGGAATTTACTTTGTGGTGCTGCAAAACAATCAAGGACAATCATGACAATATAATAAATAAATTATGAGCATAAAAATAAAATAGTACTGTATGCCTAGTGCAGGTAATACAACTTTATTTTTATTATTCTATTAATATTCTAGTTCCATGTCTTGCGCCTTCCGGGACAGGCTCTGGACCCGCCATGAAGCTGTATAGGACAAGTGGGTATAGAAAATGGATGGATGGATGTATGGATTAATACCCTATTTATTAGACTTCCTCCCATGAAGACCTTTTTTGCGGAGTGAAGCAGCAGTGGGACAGGGAGGCAGTGTCCAGGAAGGTCGGCATGAGCCTTCGCCAAGTCCCCCGCCTGGATTTTGTCACAGTGGACAAGTGGGGGGGTGAGTGAGTGGTGGTGGGGATGTTGTAGTGAATGCTGGATGAGTGGGTCCACGGCATGGAGCACACTTAGGGGGAAGAAGGGAGGCTGGTCAGCCTGGAATTCTGACCCTATGTCCACTCTTCTGTAACACTAAGCAGTAGCGTCCTGGGATCCAGTAAAAAGGTGTCCTTCTTTTTTTCCAGAAAGTCCACACGGGACTCAGTGAGACGGTCTGGTCCTCCTACAGCTTCTGCTTACCCCCCTGCTGACCGGCTATTCTCCTCCCCCCGCAGGTCAGCTGGCCGTGGGCACCTGTGAGATCGTGATGCTGAATCGCGACAGCAGTCAGCCACGGCGCACCATCGCTCGCCAGACGGCGCGCTGCGCCTGCCGGCGGGGCCAGATAGCGGGGACCACCCGCGCCCGGCCGGCATGCGTCGACGGTGAGAGCGCCTTTCAATTTCCGCCGGACCCATTCTATAAAGGGGTGTGAATTTCACAGGTAAATCTCAACGCTACCTGTCAAGTACCTGCAAACCCCGGAGTCACTTTCAATACCGCCGTAATCAAGTTTGCATGAGAACGGCATGTGACCAGAGAGGATCAGCCCTGCCTTGAATTGCATCAGAGGATATAATGAATTCTGCCCAGACTTAGTGGTGGCTGTCAAATAGGGTCGTGACCCTGGCGTGGTGGAGATCTACTATGTGTTTTAACCCCGTTGGGCAGGCACTGCTATGGAGCACTCAGACGATGCTAATTAACAGGACAGACCTATAATTACAGCAGCGGGAAATGGATTATTATTGGCTTTCCCCTGCTGCTTTCATGGTCCATTAATAGGGGGAGTTCATTAAAGCTGAACCTGTCGCTCAGAGGCACAGGGATGGGGGGGGGGGGGGGGGGCAGGCATGGGACAGGGGCCACACTGTTCAAAGATGGAGCGTCATGAGGTGCGTCTACACCTGACATCGGCAGTGACGATTCGCGGGGGGGGGGGTTGGATCCGTGGCCATGATTACCATGGCTCCCCCGAGGGGGGGCAGGAGGTTAGCAGATGGTCCTCGTACTTAGAAAAGAACGGTGACGGCGACCCTGCCCTGAGGGGGAAGTGGCTGAGCGTCTGTGTGACGCGGGCCCGAGCCGGGCACAGATGCTGGGGGCAGTGCTCTCTGCCTGGGGGGTCTGCACCGCACCTGAGGACCTGGCTGGGGGCCCCCGTGCTGGAAAGACCTCCCACTTTATACTGCCTGGCTGGCCCCCCTTCACTAAAAACAGGATCCTTATTGCCTCCAAAATTAAATATACATTAGCAAAATGCTGTTGATGCATGTGTTGCGTCTCCCAGGCAAAAATGGGCCATGAAATTGTTTAAGTAGGATGAGGGATGCTGCAGTCTTAAAGAGGGTTAACTGTACACACGCTTATTACTGGCTGTAGCACAAGGCCGGTAAACCTCCGGGGACCGGCGGGCCAGATACTACGCTTTAACACCCTTAAAGGGGAGGAACGCCAGCCCCCCCCCCAGCAGCTGCATAGGCAGGAATGCCCTGCAGAGAATAGGAGAAGCCCTAATGCTGTAATGACAATAGCCACGGCATAGATAGGAAATGGCTGTGAGAATAACAATTGTGGTGATGAAATAATTAATGATAATTATGTGGTGTCGTGACAGTGATATCATTCGAGAGCAGTGACAATCGTGCTAATTATAAGTACAGTGATTAGGGCCATTGTCTGCGAGATTGTTCTAGGCCAGAAACGGTGGGAGAAAATGACGTCGATTGTTAAACTTGAGATGGGGACGGCCGATACAGCGGCAGCTTAAGAAGCATATTCAGGTCTGACATAACGGGAGACACGCCGTCCCCTGGGGGTACTAGACCAGGTGTTAGGGGGCAGTCTTGGGATCGGGGGGGGGGGGGGGGGGGGGGGCGGGGGAATGTCGTCAAAATGGTGACAGCTTTTAGGGAGAGATGTAAGACAAGCGAGGGAGGCTCTCCTTTCCTGAGGAAGTGTCCATCAGCGGACCTGTGGGGCTAGAGTTGGAGTGGGGGATGGTGAAGATGGAGAGACACTGGGGTCTGCATCACCCAGCCGAGGTTCCTCTATGTTGTCTGGCCAGCTCCAGTGTTGAGGGGACGTGTCTGAGTGAGGGTGAGACAGGGAGCTGTGGCAGGCACTCGTGGGTGGGTAGGCAGGCGGGCGGGGGGGGGCGGTCGTCACATCACCCACCTGCAGCAGAAGGTGGGCGGGGCTCTGTGCCACAGCAGGGCAGAGAGTCACACTTCAGGGCTGGAATGCATATTTTTCACCTCCCCATCTTTTATTCCAATATAATATATGTTCACTAACTAGTGCAGCTTTAGGATGATGCAAGACTATTGCGATAAGGGGAAAAAAAACCAAGTATTTTTGACTGAGCCTGCAATTTATACAGTCCAGTCTCTTTCCTAATAGACCTTTTCCTGACATAGACTGTCTGGGTGACCCAGATGAATGAGAGCATCAAGACTCTCGTCCTCATTATTTTTAATGAGGGTTTTGTGTGCTGGCGCGAATGTATGTCTGTGTGTAAGTTCTGTACATAGCGATTCACGGAGATTTGAGGGTGTAGCTGGAAGGGAGGAACCGTCAGCGTAAGTGCTGAATCAGGGGGACGGGAAGGTGATTTGTCTCAAGCAGCCGGTCTGCTATGATCAGCTTTAACGTATCAGTGCTTTTGCTCACAAGAGAGGCAATGTCACACATGTGATGAGAGGGAGATATTTTGGCGCAACCCCCCCCCCCCTACACACTCACACACACACCTCTCATTCTCCTCAATTCCCTGCTGGTCTGCGACATCATCCTTCAGTCCCTCAGCCTCCCCAGGACCCCAGGGAAGTGGGAACAGAGGTTTGCGAATTGCTGGCGAAAGGGGTGGTGCCCTTAGGAGCCCCCGCCGGCTGTGTTTCCCGGCCCCCTGGCTGCGTGCGGCACTGAAGGCAGCTGGCACTCGCCGGCCCGTGTAAAACGGACCCTATGCTATCCCACAAGGCTGCTGGAGCGGCAACCAGACACGTCGAATGGTTCTCGCTCAGAACTTTTTGTCAAGATTGCGCAGGGAGAGCCGTTTCTGTACAGGTCTAAGTACTCACTACCCAGTTACATAAGTTGGCTGGAATACATGATTTTCATTGATAGTTTTTAATAATTTTTAACTTCCACAGGGGTCAGGCTATGTCATTGGTAAACATCCTGGTCAGGTAGTATGCTTGATGGCGACTGCTGTATGTCTGAGTGCATGCATACTTTTCTCATACATACATGCAGTATGTACTGCATTAACGGTCCCTCCACTGTTGGTCCCCAAGCCGGCTGCCCTCTGCCCGTCCCTGAATGTCCTCTCTCTCTGTCCGCAGCCCGCATCGTGAAGAGCCGGCAGTGGTGCGATATGGCTCCCTGCTCCGAGGGTGAGGTTTGCGGGCTCCTCTTCAACCGCTCCGGCTGGACCTGCACCAAGGGCGGGGGGCGTATAAAGACCGTCACGGTGAGGGGGCGGGGCTCTTCGCTCAGGTCCGCTTCCACCTTTGCCACTACTCATAACTGACATAGTGGTTTAATATCACAGTGCACATACTCTGGTCTCTGACTTCATGTGTAAATAAGCCATGAATGGAGAAGCCCAGCACGCACCCACTATCCAATGAAAACCATTGATGTCCTTTTGAACAATTGTCATCTTTTTCTGTATATGAAATATGCCCATTTTCATCTGTCTGTTGATAGCATTTGACATGTAATTGGCCAATGAAAAGATGTTTTATGAAGTCCTATATTTAACTAGTATTTATGTTTGTACGAGATAACATTTGTATTCAATGACATTGATTTAGGTTCATTTTGCAAAGTTCTTTCTGAGAAATTGTGTTTATGTTTTTTACATTCCAGAAATAATAGATTTTTGGAGATACATGTTTCTCATTGGACAGTGACGATATGGCTAATAGAATAGGGTCCTTGGAACATTTCAGGACAGGATGGCAAACCACAGGGCAGATATCGTTACTGTGAACGGCAGATTTATGAGGATAACATTTTTTCTTTTAAGTCGTAGTTGGGATCAGGTAAGGACACGACAATCACATGATCGTTTCAGCCAGGATAAAGGGGAAAGAAAGACTTATTGAGAGATTCAGTAAAATATTTTTACTGATTAACAGCCTGATGAACAACTAAGTCATTTCAATACTGAGGGCAGTGCTTAGTATTGTGGACGTGATAATGTGATGTAGGTCATATGGAAATTTATACCGGTTTGTTTGAGGGGCAGAAAGCAGCGCCGTCGAACCGGGCCGATATTTTTAGCGTCATTGTTGGCACGGATGTCGCTTTGTATTATTTATAAAGATCCTGCTGCTTTTAGCTTTGAATACATGCAGCATCTAGATAGGTACAACGACATCGCAGTCTAGCGTAGTTCGGGAACAGCTTGTGTGTCAGAAGCCAGCTTGTACAGCGGTTCCTCCCAAAGCCGGGTTTGAGAAAACCGGCTTAATGTGGTACTGGGGAAAGAGGCAGCTTCCCTTTTTTTCGGGAATCCTGGTGATGTCTTTTTTGATGTCAACGAAACGCGCGCTGCGCACGCGTGTGATGTCTGACTAATGAGATCTTCAAAAATGGTGCAACTGAACAAGCATCATGTCTTTGAGCTGTTCTATTTTAGTATTGCATTCTATTGCAACATTTGCATACATATTAAAATATCAATTTTGCCTTTGAGGATAGCAGGGAAAGATAGTTATCCACTGGATAGTACATCCAAAAAGTTTGATTTGTCACTATAACGATGAAATTATCAAAATGATTTTGGTTAAAGTACATAAGAGGTGAGGATCATGCACTGATTACAGTGTGTTGTCACACCCACCACACGACAGACCACCTCAGAGATGAGAACCTGAGCACAGCCATGCAGTGGGTGATACCTCAGCACCACACTAGCCCAAATGGGACAGTGTGAGTTTTTTCCAGTGGCTGGAGTGCCAATCCTGCCACCAACCCCCAAATTTCCCAGTTAGTTGGAGGACCTGCTTATAGGACTGGATGTAGATTAACATCATACTCAGGATGAAGCAATTGCAGGTTAAGGGCCTTGCTCAAGGGTCTAATGGAATAGAATCACTTCGGGCATTCACAGGATTCGAACCAGCAACCTTGCTGGTACAGATCCCTAGCCTCAGAGCCACCACTCCCCCTAAAGTACATACACTGCTTTCCATTTTTTAGCAATTGTCTTTCTAAGCCATATAAGATGTCTCTTGTTTGGATACTATCTGGGGCCTGGAGGGGTGGGACTCTTCAATTTCCCAGATCGTAAGATGTTCGCATGAATCACTAAAATCCTAATATCAGAATAGCTGCAGGTATAGTGGCCCAGTGTGTCTCCCCTTAAGGCACAAGTGAGCCGCAGCACAGCCGACGCAGAGCAATGCCATTTACAGGCTCCTTTTTATCAATGTAAACACTACTATGAATCAGTGGCACTCAGAATCTTCCACAAACACGGAGCAGGCAGAGCAACGGCTGAAACACAGCAATGCAGGCCGTCCCGTCAAACCTCACTGACTTTACGGTCAGTTTTCAGTCTCCTCCCGTCTCCTCCATTTGTCCCACAGCTGGCACCACTGTCCCTCATCGCCTAGTTAGTGGTGCCCAGCTACGCTCCGTTTGCACGAGCCCCGATAGCTGGCAGCGGCAGCGAGCAGCAGTGCCAGCGTTTCCGAGCCTCACGCAGGCCTCAGAATGGACTTCACCCTGTGCTCCGCTGCATCACATCTCCGCTTAATTGAGTGCTGTGGTGCAACAATCACATCCATTTCTGTCTTGGAAAGATTGGATGCGATCAAACATCTCTTGCTGCTTTCGCTTTTACTCCCACCTGCCACCTGTTTCTGCCCATTTATTTGTCATTTTCCCCTTTTTAACTCAGTTGCCTACGGCACTTACGTGCCAGGAAGTATCGGCAGAGCGTTCTGTACACATTTTCAACACACGCCCAGCAAATTTTACCATCCGTGAAATTTTTGTACAACGTAAACTGATCCTTGAACATCAAAAGGATGCGAACCTGTACTCTACAGGGTCACTGGGAATGAATTGTGGACCGTGCCGCTCCAGAACCCCCCTAAAAATTTGGCATTTTCTTTTAGTGATGTCTTCTGCTCATATAACATCTAACTTCAATGAAACATCCATTATCCTCTTTAATACCCTTAATAACTCCTTAAAAAAAACCTCTTTGGGTGATTTGATGATGTAGTGTAACTAAAAAGGTTTTGCTTTTTAATGTGAAATTGCAAAGAGTTTGAAAATATCAAGATTGCTTTTCCCCGGGAGTGAGTGGTAGGCATTTGACTGAAGTAGCCACAATGAAGCTGCTTTGTTCTACTCATTATCGACTCGTAATTAAAGGTTTAGAGCGTCTATCAGTACAATAAAAACACATTCAGTGAATTTGAGGAGCCTGAATTAGAATGAGTTGTGCCTGTGGATTGATATTGTGGCTTGTTGGTTAGCACTATGGGATTGGTGGTTTGAGTGGGGGCCCTGCAGTGGACAGGCATCAGCCACGTACCCTGTGTCTCCTGTGGTAGGTCCCAGGCTCACAGTGACCCAGTGTTGGTAAGTCATTATGAACGGTAGGTGGATGTATACACTATATTGCCAAAAGTATTGGGACACCTGCCTTTACACACACATGAAATTTAATGACATCCCATTCTTAATACATAGGCTTTAATATAGAGTTGGCCCACCCATCACAGCTATAACAGCTTCAGTTCTTCTGGGAAGGCTGTCCACAAGGTTTAGGAGTGCGTTTGAATTTTTGACCATTCTTCCAGGAGAGCATCTGTGAGGTCAGACACTGATGTTGGACGAGAAGGCTTGGCTCGCAGTCTCCACTCTAATTCATCCCAAAGGTGTTTTATCAGGTTGATATCAGGGCTCTGTGCAGGCCAGTCAAGTTCCTCCACACCAGACTTGCTCATCATTGACCTTAGTGCACTGGTGCTGTCATGGTGGAACAGGAAGGGGCCATCCCCAAACTGTTACTACAAAACTGGGAGCATGAAATTGACCAAAAATACTTTGAATGCTGTAGCACAGTTTCACTTTCACTGGAACTAAGGGGCCAAGCCCAACCCCTGAAAACAACCCCACACCATAATCCCCCCTCCACCAAACTTTACACTTGGCACAATGCAGTCAGACAAGTAACGTTCTCCTGGTAACCGCCAAACCCAGACTCGTCCATTCGATTGCCAGATAGAGAAGCGTGGTTCGTCACTCCAGAGAACACGTCTCCACTGCTCGAGTCCAGTGGCAGTGTGCTTTACACCACTGCATCTGACACTTTGCATTGCACTTGGTGATGTAAAGCTTGAATGCAGCTGCTCAGCCATGGAAACCCATTCCATGAAGTTCTCTATGCACTTTTCTTGAGCTAATCTGAAGGCCACATGAAGTTTGGAGGTCTGTAGCTATTGACCCTGCAGACAGTTGGTGACTTCTGCACACTGTGCCCCTCAGCATGCGTTGTCCCCGCTCTGTGATTTTATGTGGCCTATCACTTTATGGCTGAGTTGCAGTTGTTCCCGATTGATTCCACTTTGTTAAAATACCACTAACGGTTGACCATGGAATATTTAGTAGCGAGGAAATTTCATGAATGGACTTATTGCACAGGTGGCATCCTATCACGGTACCACGCTTGAATACACTGAGCTCCTGAGAGTGACCCATTCTGTGTTTGTAGAATCAGTCTGCATGCCTAGGTGCTTGCTTTTATACACATGTGGCTATGGAAGTGATTGGAACATTTGAATTCAATGATGTGGAGGGGTGTCCCAATACATTTGGCAATGTAGTGTCGTTCTGAGCGTTTTTGTTTTATGGATGGAACACCAGGTCTTTCAATAAATATGAAACCTGTCATAGATCACAGTTAAAAGCAAGATTTGAGGTTTTTTTTTTCCCCTCAAAGGTTCTTCAGTTTTTTTGATAAGGAGCAGATTCTGATTCAGGTTCTACTGATGTTCTCTAGTCCTAAAGTTGTGTTGTTTGTTTTGGGTATTGTTCTGGCTCTGAGCTCAGGGTATTCTGTATGTTATTTAGAGTTTTTATAATATTTAGAGAAGCAGTATACAGTGTGGAGTTAGAAGCATGAGTGAGCATAACATTCTGTCTGTGTGCTGCTCACGGGGTCCTTGTAGCCCCGGGTCGGTGGGCATATATGAGTCAACAGAGGTGTAAAACATTTGTCCTGAAGTGCTGCTCATTTCTACTGGGAAATCTTCTAGCTCACAGTCTTGTTTGGCCAGAAGTCACAGTGATAGGGACCTTTTAGACAGTCTAACCTCACCAGTGCCTTAGGGGACTGATTTTGCTCCTGGGCTGAGAGGCTGCATTGCTGGTTACTGATGTCCCAAGTCCTGTTTTCTAATGCACTTTTCTAGGTCATCAGCAGCTATTGACATGGTCTCTGTG